CCCCTTTCCCCTTTTTTCCGGGATATCAGGCAACAATTTTGGATGGGGAACATTTACTGAAAAGGAATTTGATATTGAATGAATTTTGAATTCTACGGTCCAATAACTTTAAATTAATAGTGTGGACAAACTTATAAAGAACATAAGCCACACACTTGCTAGCCTTTCATAAAAAAAAAAAAACTTAGGGTGGGGAAAATATTTCCCCCAAGGGGAAAACTATTTTTTTAATAAACTTCTGCAGATTGAAGGAGTTTAACTATTTCATTATGTTTTTAACGCATTTTGTGTCCACTTATTTTCTCAAATTAATGAACAAATTTTAGCTAATAAGCATGTACATTATTGACAATTTTATTTTATGTTTTCAATGTAATAACAAATGTAACCTATTCTAAAGTGCATACAGTTAACCCTCTCCGCCAGAAATGACCAAGCCGGGAAAAACCATCATCAGATCCTGGTTTACACTTGGTTCCCCTGGTTCCTCTGTCTCGGGTTTTCAAACATCTGTTGTCAGCATTGGTCATTCCTCTCCTCTTTTTTCCTTAAAAATTACCATCATGAAAATCACTATCTGTCTTCATATCAAATCTACTCTATACAAATAATATTTATCACATCATGATAATGTATGGCTTTCCTTCAATGTATTACTCCTTTTTAAGGGACATGAAAAACTCTTCTACTCTTCTTTCAGTAAACATTATTTCTATAGAGTTTCAATCTATATGGAAATTTGGCATAGGTTTTTAAATGAGTCCAAACAACATTTAACCAATTGCTTGAAATTTAGCGCCAATGATTTGACAGAGTCAGCAATATGAAAGCAGGAAAAAATAAACATGTGCTTAAACCATAATTTTGAATTATCTGCTCTTGATATCAGTAAATTTCACATTCATTGGGCAGATAACTCAAAAACGAGATTGATGACCCACAAAATTATCATAGGCTTAAAATTTCTCATATTCTAAGTTTCCTAAATTCTAAGTTTAATTAATTCTTGTATACAGTTTTCATTTTGCCTAAATGTCTAAATTAAGTGTAAAGTTTTACCCACACATAGAAAATGAGGGTAAAGTTATTCTAGTCAATTGTGAGACCATGATAAAACGGTGCTACATTCCCGCAGGAAAACAGAACAAACTAATGCAGGATAAAAAGTATGGGAAGGAAAATGTTAGTACAGGAGTACTTAGTGCTGTAAGGAGGGATCAGAATGGGGGTAGACATAATAAAAGAAAATTAAAAAAAGCAAACTTCATAATTATTAAAGAATTGAAAGCAAATAAACATAATAAGGACTAATCTAAAACTTCACTGGCTAAACAAGCATGACAAAAAGAAGGAATAAATTAAATGAATCAATGTTAATTTTGCCATTACAATATTACAAAAAAAAATCATAAAGACACCCGATATGAAATTTTACAGCATTTAAATTTTAGTTCAATCATCTGGGAAGTAAGTTTAAAAAAACAGTTTTTACAGAAGTGCCATTATATAATAATCTATATACGGACTCAAACAGACATTAGATGCGTCACATCACAGGTGCAGTGCTGCAATGTTGTCATAAAAATAGGCATAAATCTGCCAAAATGAATTTTGGGGGGAAATATTTGCCATTTTAAAAAGGACTTTGTGTGCAAGTAAAAAAAATAAATAGTGTTCTTTTTTTGTTCTACTTTCTTTATTTTTGCTTCAAACCATAGTATATTTTCAAGAAAATCCATATTGGGCTGTCTACATTCAATTCACTTGTATAAACTAAATAACAAAACTATAAAAACCCATATCTGGCAAATTTTTAGCAGTATTTAAACCATTTCATTTGCTTTAATTTGTTCATAGACAAAAAAGGAATCTTGTCAATTGAAATTTCAACCCAATAAGTATTTCTACATTGTACACGGCCAAAACTTTTTTAGTATTATAAGAAATGTTGTTTGTAGTGCCGCCGTCTTTAACAAAACTTCTCAGATTGTTTATACATGACATTATGGCAAGTAAATTAATAATGAGAAAGTTTTGGTGAAGCATGCATGTGTAGAAAGGTCAAAGCTTAATGTAAATGCCTAGGGGAGTAAATGGTGTTTCACGACTCATTACATCTCAATAAGACGTATAATTAAAAACCAAGTCTACAATTTCACCTGTTGACATTCTATTTTTCTTCCAGAGAGTTTTTTTTTATATCATATTTACTATCAGGTATATTATATCATTCACTCCAGGGAATCAGTTATGATGCTTTCATCAAACTATAAGAATAAAGGAATTTTCTCCCATTTCCTCCTTCCTCTCTTCTTTTCATTTCCTCTCCCAATCCACCCGATAACTCAATCACTATATTTTTTATATTCCCCCCCCCTCGCTCTCTCTCTCTCTCTCATATAGGAAGAATGCAGTGTGAGCAGCATCTGCAAGCAGTAAGCACTTTAGGTCTGTACAATACCTGTGAGAATTGATGCCTGTCTTTCACATGCTTCACTAAATAAAGTGAAACAAAATATTGCTATAAACAATGCAAATTGCTTTGAAAGTGCAGGGTTCTCTCCATGCAAGCCAATCATGCTATTGTTACATTATTTTTCATGCCAAGTATCAGTTTAATAATTTTGAGATTTAAGATTTTTAAAATTCATTCCAGGTTAAGCATTATTTAATATACCGGTAGCTGAACATTTTATAAAAGCTTACTTTTCATATTGTTTATACAAGTATCATAGGAACTGTAATGTTGTCAACTGAGATTTTTTAAAATTCATTCCAGGTTAAGCATTATTTTAAATATAGCTCAATGTTTTATAAAAAAGCTCTACTGTTCAATATTTTTTATACAAGTATCAATAGAAACTGTAATGTGTCAGTTTATCAACTGAGAATTAATTTCTTCACAAAGTCTACTGAACCATTTAATATTATCTATCTCAATAAAGGTAATATTAGCACAACCAATCACGTCAAAATCATGCTGATTAGTTTCTCATGAATCTAAAGAGAAAATGACAAATTGATTAAGGAAATATTGCTTTCAAACTGGTAAAATTAATTTTTTCTGTTTATTCTCGAGGACGTTCGTCACATTTTATCAAACTTTGAAAAAACAATCCCTTCAGTTTTTAGTCATTTGTCTAACAATAAAAAAAAACATCAAAAACATTTTAAAACCAAAATGAAAACAGTCAAAAGTGCTAATATGCAATTTCTTATATAGCAGAATTTTTAAAATACAAAAAGTGCAATTTTCTTAACAAAGTTAAAAATATTAAAAGATTCCTGGTTGTCCTATATCTGATATACCTGAGATATTATAAACTATCTACATAACCCAAGCCATCAATAAATATTTTCACAGAGAAAGAAGTAACTAAAAAATAAAACCAGCAAATTAAAAAGCTAGTGTATATACACAAAATAAAAGAAATCACTTCAAAACCTTAGCACAAAAACTGAAAACTCAAAAAATTCTTAACCACAGCAACCAGGGAAATAATTCAATAAAAATGATAAATATAAACTTTTTTCCGTCCTGCTTACATTAACAAACTCATTATGATAGGTGACAGTACAATATGACACGAAATCAATCAGACCACAACAAAATATAATCAATTTCAATCAGCCAAACTGAACCTCAGACCTAATCAAAATAATTGCTTCAATAATGTATATAATACTGGCACAGTCCTAGCGGAAAGAGTGGCTAAATTAATCTAACAACCTAAAGCTGTAATTGCTCGAGTAACTCATGAATAAATAATCTTGTTACCATCAATATATATCCTTACTGGAAATTTCCCGCCATGCAGAATGTCTTTACCTCACATCAGAGGGAAATTAAAGAACCAATCACAATAATTTACATATATATGTGTGGGAATTTCCAGTCATTTTCTTTGTAACAATACATAAATATGTCACTTTGGTCCACTGCTGGAAACAGTTTTCAATTTAAGGTTTTAATAGTAAAAACAATAATGTTATAATGACATAAGGAATTATTGTAGCTTAAAGAATTTTGTTTCATCTAGACTATACAATGCATAGAGAACAAATTATTGCTGGAATTGCACCTACATTAATTCCCTATTTTATTATCCAAGAACACAAAATAGTTGTGATACATGTCATATCAAAATTGTCATTATCTACCTAACGCTTAATGTCAGTGAACATATTGATTTTACATTACAATGATTTCTTCCTTCAATTATATTTTGATGTGAATGTTTAGGCATGCTTCAAAGTAAGTAATTATTTTTAAAAAAAACAAGCCACAACAACATTTCTTTAGTGTTTATATAAAATTAATTCTATATTTTGAAAACATAAAATTTCTTTAATCGTCAAATTAATCAATGTGTTATCCTGATAAATTCATGGGTTGTAAAGCAAAGAAGTCTTAGATTATTAAATCTAACATACCTGTATTTAACACAACAGGTAATAAATTCTATTTGGTGTTCTGGGTCAATATGCATGGTGTTACAGTGGCAAAATTTCCTGAGAGTATAGGTCTTGAAATCTATCAGGTTATTTTAGGAAACTGTGTTCACAATAAAACATCACACATGTAGCATTGTTTGAAGAAAATGTGCATCACTTATTCTTTTCAACTTAATATACCAGTAATATATCAGAACAGAACAGAACAGAACAAACTGTTCTGTTCAGTAATATATCAACACTTATACCATATCTAATAAATTACTTACTATTTAATTATAAAAGAATGAATTATTTCCACATTAAAGTAACAGTGAAAAATTAAAAGGATTTACATTTCAAATTTGTTTGATGTTTAATTGAAAATGATCCTTGAGGAATTAATTGATGTACTTATATGTATCCTATCTAATTAAGTAATTAAAGAAAAGAAGTAATAGTTTACAGTGTTATATTTCAATCATAACTTTATCTAATAACTGTAAGATAAACATGTATTTTTACCAATCAAACATTGTAGCCATAGAAAGTAGCTATTTCATCTGTTTACTGATGACATGTATATCTTTAGAAAGAACTGAATCCAAAACATCCTCAACTAGTATTAAACATAAAACCAGAATTCTTACAATATTTATTTTCTTCATTATGAATTTAAAAATAAAAAAATAAAAATTAAAAAATATCATCAAAGTAGATTGATACTTAGTTAAAACTTTATAATTAAAAATAAACAAGAAACATGAAAGTACCTTAAAACCAGGTTTATGATAACTACCATTCTATAAAGTTGTGTTCTAGTATGACTGCAAATTGAAGCAGTATTCAATGTAATCTTGTGTTATATAACAGATAAAAGCATATAAGCTTCCTATGTAACAAATTTGATTACAATAACTCAATCTGAATTGCAATTATCATTCAAAAAAACATCTATTTGACACCCACCCAAATGCTGGACCTCAAGTCTGCCCATCTTTCCCCAATCTAATAAACAGGATGTTCAAAATTGAAAACTTGGTTAAAATCATTTTACAAGCTACATAACAATGTGCAGTCAAGCAAAATGCTAGGAGTGTTAACAGTACGATCATGCCTTGCTTACACCATTCATCATTATATCACCATATCCATCCACTCTGGTCAACAATATAACAAATTTAAATTTAACTACCTAACCTAAGTACTCAAAGAGCTAAACCAGACTGCTAAGCGAAAAAAATAAAACAGGCATAAAACAACGTATTATAACGTAAATCAGTGTATGTACTAACGTGCACGAGCAACAAAGAACTTCGACAAAGCCATCCCTGTTTTCTGACCATAAAATAACTTCCTGGGCCATTGCTTACAGTAAGGTATAAAACTTGCAGGCATCACATCATCTGTCTTAGTGTCTGTATACACCCTCACTAGACCGCCAGGACGACCTCCTGATGACCCCATAGATACCGTCTGTTTGTTGTCTGTAATAACATTATACCTTATAATAATTTTCCTGTAATATTATATATAATGCTGGACTATTTTTTTCTTTTACTCAACATTCACTGATGTTGTCTTGATCAAATGCTGCTTGCAAAATAAAGTGTGACTAATAACTAATAAAGTACTGCTTTCATGATCAGGTAATACTTGCATATTTAAAACTTGAATAATTTTAGTACATTACAATTTTTTTTTCTATCTGCCCAGACAAGTCCCGCCACACATGTACATGTAGTGAAATGTATAACATAACTGACCATGCACTGCTTAAAAAGTAATTTTAAATATTTTTCTGTCTGTATATTGAATACAATCCTTTAAACTATTATAAATGATTGTAATGTCTGAGGTTTGTTTTCTTGTACTTTAACATGTGTGGTTTCACTAAATACAACACCAACTGTGCAGATAAAAAAATTCATGATTATTTTGAGATACAAATAACATCACAAAAAACAAGGTCTGAGACAAATACCGATATAATCAATGCCACATACGGTAGTTGAAGGCCATTAATGTAACATGTGGTGAAGCTATTATACAGAGATGTATCATTTATTTAAATCACACTGTAATCACACTGTTCTGTATTTCAGGAGTGTGCTATGTATTGTGTTGTTTTTCCAGAGTTTAATGGAATTCTGAAATTTCCTCCTGGTTTAAATCTACCAAAACAGAAATTAAAATTGAAATTTAAGACTAGAAGTAATAGAATTGATAATAAATCTCAGTACTTCCCAGGCTATAGAGACATCATCTAAACCATTCCTATATTGTCATTAAATGTCTGTAAGCAGATCAAATATTCCAGGAAAAAAATATCGGCTAATCATGTTAACAGTCTTTGTTTGAAAAGTTTCATAAATAGATTTCCACCTACGCTGATTTTTTTTACATCAAGAGTTTTAGAGTCAATAAAAGCTTTTGATAGCTGTAGACAATAAATACCAATTATATCATGTAAGAGAAATTTTGCAATGATTTTTCTCCTATATTTCATACAACATGTTCTGATGAAAGCATTTTTCTTTTCTTTAAAATTAGTTTACGGTTTACAGATTTATTTTTTCTTTTGCTATAAAGCATAGTTAAGTCTCTGTTCTTTGTAAAGTATTTACATAAAATTATGACAAAGATCTGTATAATATTATGGGGTATGGTAGGATTCCTGTTGTAGTACATGCTTTCTTAAAATATTAACTAAAAAAAAGTGTAGAGACTTGGACCAAATGACAACAGATATAATCGTAGTAGAGATCTGACAACAGGTACTCACTTTCTGACAAAGGTACGGAGATTATGACACCATTTCCTGTACCAATCCATAATCTATTACACGAGATCAACATGGAGGTGATTCTAACAAATGAAAATCCTAATTTACCAGTTCCTGAAACAAGTAAACATAACAAGTAAACATTATGTTCAAACAAAAGCATAATGCCTGCGTGACAACTTCAACAATATTCTACTGTTTAATATAAGCCTTAATGTAATTTCATGATTATGCAGTCAAATAATTATAAACATGATAATAACATAATGAATTAGATAGCTATTCCATTACATATTTAAAGTGTACTTCAGTATCTTAACTGATGATATACATCATTTCTTTAAACTCCAATTTTACAAACAGTTTGTTTTTAATTGTTAAAATTAACAGTTTCTATTCGTTAAAATAAACACTTTACAAAAGTTTCAATTTATTTTTTTTGTGTGTGTTAAAGATGACATACCTAGCATTTTACTAACATATGGTTCTATATCATATTATCTATATTAACAGTTTCTATTCGTTAAAATAAACACTTTACAAAAGTTTCAATTTATTTTTTTTGTGTGTGTTAAAGATGACATACCTAGCATTTTACTAACATATGGTTCTATATCAACATCTTGTAAATGTTGGTGCGTGTAGGCGTGGTAAAGACGTAAAGTACTGTCAAGACGTATTGATACCCACACACCATCACCGACCCACGCTAGCTGTCGTACTTGACTCTCTTTACGAGGATGTGCATCAAAACTTTTCTGTAATATATGTTAGATTTTATTTTAATCCTAAATTAAATGTGTCAGTGTATCATATCAACTTATTATGATAAGTCACATGTATAAATCAAAATAATGACAAATTAATAAAATATATACGCAACTCAGAATGTTAAGAATAAAGTCAACATTTAAGACCCTGGACAGTCAGTATATTGGATTAGAAAGTTAACAGAACTATAAACAAGCTGTATCTAATTTGAATATTTTAGCGCTAACCCTGCTGTCAGTAACTGATTCTACCCATGCAACCAGTGCAAACCAAGACCCTCTGTGCTTCTGATTATGGTCTGCACTGTTTGCTATTCATTCAGTACTTATTTTGAAATATGCCATAGAAATGATGAATTGTTTTGTTCAGATCGAAAAAGATGTACTTTTGTCAAGATTGAAAGATGAACAAGTCCATTTAACATATTTAAGGAAATAAGAGTTACATTTGACATTACTGAAATCTGACAATGACACACAGTTTAAGATTTCAAGTTAGACACAGCCATCACAGAAAATCAATAGCAACAGAGTCAACTAACAAAGTGTTTGTTTACATATTGCAGCATTTGAAAATATAGCATTTCAATATAGAAATAAATCAAATTTTTAACTTGTACACACAAAAACTGAGGTACAGTCTAAAAGATATAACAGTTTCCCCCACGCCACCACTATAACTTTAATTTTACGATATAATGAGATTTAACTTTAATTTTTGATATAATGAGAATTAAAATGATAGCTCAGCTTATATTTTGTTAAAAATAAGAACTACAAATGATGACTCACTGTAATTGTCATGGACTGAGGGTCAACAACATGAACTTTGTTCCTATATCCACACCAGACATGTTTGTTAGCAATCACAGACATACAGCGTATGGAATGGTGCGGTTTTCCTAGATCTAGTAGATGGTAATTCTGTAGGTCCCATTGTCCATCTGTAATATTATACAAATATATTATATCTTATTCTGATATGATTTGAAGGGACTGATATTTATGTCTATACTGGCAGCCAGTGTTAGTCTTTTAATATTTATTTCTTTTGTTAAATATAAGATTTTCTCTACATAATCACTTTCAGCATTCCTAAGTACATTTTGTAAATCAAATATCAATTTCAACATTCCTACAGTTGACAAGTTATTAATTTCTATCAATTTCAACATTCCTACAGTTAATAAGTTATTAATTTCTATCAATTTCAACTTTCCTACAGTTAATAAGTTATTAATTTCTATCAATTTCAACATTCCTACAGTTAATAAGTTATTAATTTCTATCAATTTCAACATTCCTACAGTTAATAAGTTATTAATTTCTATCAATTTCAACATTCCTACAGTTAATAAGTTATTAATTTCTATCAATTTCAACATTCCTACAGTTGACAAGTTATTAATTTCTATCAATTTCAACATTCCTACAGTTAATAAGTTATCAATTTCAACATTCCTAGAGCAAATTAATCATCAATTTCAACATTTCTACAGTAAATAAGTTATCAATTCAACAAATACCTTACATCATTATACATTATTTCTATGTATAGACTTATACATTCTTAGTAAACTGTATTTTGTCTATCATATGACATATATGTCTATTTATAGAAAACATTAGCTATTTATAGCTACATATCAGGCATTGACAGGGAGAACTTATCACTAAATATAGTGTACCTTTACATATATAGAGGGTATCGAATATCATGTAACAGTTTTATTTAAATCACATCATTCATTTCTATTCTGACATTCTACAGTGATACAAAGTTTGAAGGTAAATTGTAGTGGACATCTGGTAAGGAAAACACGATCGTCAAACCTCATTTGTGAATAATTCTTGTCACTTTAGATAAATGTCTCTGAATATTGTCCAGTTAAGTTTGTCTAGGGCAGACAAAACAATCAATAAGCAAAGAGTCAGCTATGCAAATAAGACAAGGTTTATAATAGAAAATTTGTCCACACCATCAGATATATAAATCATTGGGATATTGAACTCCTCGTGGAATATAACACCTACATTATGACAGGACATTTGTCTGGCCATGTACTCCTAGCGACTTTGATATATGCTCACTAAAATCAGCTTCGAAAGTTTTATGTGGTTAGTGACATTATTCATTTCCTTCTATATTTCAAGGAAGCATTATTGTTACGTTTTCTTGTTTCGTGGTCATTATAAAGGAAAGGTTCTGACTAGCTTATGTCATTCTCTCAATATTGCAGTTATTAACCAGTTATGTGAAAGACATGTTTTGTAAACAAAAACAATCAGGAACATACAATGGGGGATGGAGCATAACATGTGTTCAAATACTATAAATATATTGTGGCATAGAATGTTATTCTTAATCTGTCTGGTTTCTAAATGAAAACAATAAAATTTAACAGTCTACATTTTACATGTTTAGTCAGTATAGACTGACCTTTGCTGTACACTGGTGACATAGACCTGTTATATTCCTTGTAAGACGTAAGCTTCCTACATTTCAGAGTTAAAGTTGAAACTTGAATTCAGAAGTGTAAACAGTTATATAAAATGTTAACTCTATTTTGTCATATAACATATATATGTCTATTTATAGAAAACATGAGCTATTTATAGCTACATTTAAGGCATTGACAGGAAGGATTGATCACTTTATTGTACCTAAACATATATAGAGGGTATCAAATACCATATAACAGTTTTATTTCAATCAAATTCATATAAACAGTTATATAAAATGATACCTGTATCTCTATGGAATATTGCAACTGTCCCATCGGCCAAGGCAACCAGAACACGACCTTTCACATGTCTGAAAATTATTTACAAATTAATACATATTTAACAATTTGATTTAATATAAGATTTATAACAGTCTTTTAAGTTTAACATCTCTAACCATTCCTTACATTACTGCTAGATGACTGTCAGACCCCTCTATAGTTTACATTGAAACTTGTATACATATTTCAAGAACATACATATAAAATAACTAGAAATGTGTCATCATGCCACGGATGCCCCCGCAGGCAGCCAAAATTTCAGATGGTGCATTAATTATTTTTTTCATTTTAAGTTTAAAGCCCTTAAAACTTTTCAATGTTAACACAAACCATTTTCATAAAATGTTCAAGGCATTGAAACTATTCAGTCTAAACCTTTTAAAAATAGCATATTGCATATTTGTAGCCAAAATAATGGCTAAAAGTAAGAGTGCTGAAACTGAAAGTTCAAAATTTTTCCAACATTCAGGAAAGATAAGTTTGTCTTAAATCATTGAACTACAACCAAATTCAAACTTAAACTGCTTATTCCTAAGATGTATCTATATTATTTTCAAAGTGAAAGGGACATAACTCTGCCAAAAAATCATCAAACCATGACCATATTCCAACTTGACCTGCCCATTCCTTTGACATATCCATATGTCAAATTTAAGTTGAATATGTAACACTGTTGGGTAGATAATGAACAGAAACTGTAAATTTCATATTATTTTCAAAGTGAAAGGGGCATTACTCGGCCAAAAATCATTGAACCATGACCAAACTCAATCTTGGCCTGGGCATTCCAAAAACATATCCATATGTCAAATTTGAGTTGAATGTGTTGTACCATTGGGGAGATAATGAACGGAAACTGAAAATTTCATATTATTTTCAAAGTGAAAGGGGCATAACTCTGCCAAAAATCATTGAACCATGACTAAATTCGAACTTAACCTGCGCATTCCTTTGACGTATCCATATGTCAAGTTTGAGTTGAATGTGTTGTACCTTTGGGGAGATAATGAACGGAAACTGAAAATTTCATATTATTTTCAAAGTAAAAGGGGCATAACTCTGCCAAAAATCATCGAACCATGACCAAATTCGAACTTGACCTGTATTTTCTTATGACATATCCATATGTCAAGTTTGAGTTGAATGTGTTGTACGGTTGAGGAGATAATGAACGGAAACTGAAAATTTTATATTATTTTCAAAGTAAAAGGGGCATAACTCTGCCAAAAATCATCGAACCATGACCAAATTCGAACTTGACCTGTATTTTCTCATGACATATCCATATGTCAAGTTTGAGTTGAATGTGTTGTACCGTTGGGGAGATAATGAACGGAAACTGAAATTTCATATTATTTTCAAAGTAAAAGGGGCATAACTCTGCCAAAAATCATCGAACCATGACCAAATTCGAACTTGACCTGTATTTTCTCATGACATATCAATATGCTAAATTTGAGTTGAATGTGTGCAACCGTTCTTAAGATAATGAACGGAAACTGATGATGACGGAATGACAGAATGACGGAAGGACGGAAGGACGGAATGACGGAACAGGGTAACACTATATGCCCCGGCCATTACATGGCGGGGGCATAATAAATATATTAAGATATTATACACCTGTAATTCATTGTCTACTTAAACTTAAATGAATAATGGGTAAAACAAACATCTTCATAACTTCTTGGACAAAACATGGATTTTACCTTAAATTTTAACAAATCAATAAACCAAAATTGTCTTACATTGATATAAGGGAGAAAACTCTTTTATCTATCTATATAATACTACATCCCACTCAGTTCAGATTTAGTCCAATTATCTGTGTTGGATATATATCTCTACTAAAATACTTACACAATATTAAGAATAGAATCTCTAAGTTTTACAGAATGTAAACATCTCCTCCACTGGGACACCGAGGAATGCACATACAAACTGAAAATGACAACAGCATAGTTTTAACTGATTTAAGTACCTGTAAAGCTTTTCTAATTCTATTCACAGTCAAACAATCATAAGCAAGAGCTTTGTGTGTCAAAGCATTGCATGCCCAAAGTCTGTGATGTCATATGTGATGTACAATGTTAAATTGTGATAGGACTCAATTGAAAAAAAATAAATAAAACAAACAGAACAACTTATTGATCAGACAAGGATTTTACATATAAGTGTCACTGTCACCTTGACCTTTTAAAACTTGTATAAGAAAATCATCAACTCACCATGGGCAATATCAGTACAAATTTCACAAGTCCAGGCTTATTTCTTCTCAAGTTATTGATTGGATAATGATTTTACACCAAGTGTCACTGTGACCTTACCCTTCAATCTTACGACCTCAATTGGGGTCATCTACTAGCCATGATCAATATTGCCACCAAGTTTCATAAACAAGGCTTATTCTTACTCAGGAACTTGAGTGGACAAGGAGTTACACTTGTCTCAAGTTATTGAGTGGGCAAAGATATTGCATTAAGTGCCATTGTGACCATGACCTTTGACCTACATTCCTCAAAAACAATAGGGATCATAAAATGATCAAGGGAATTGTCTGTACCAATTTTTACAAACCTAGACTTATTTCTTCTAAAGTTTTTGAAAATAAGGAATTTACACTGTGACCCTGACCTTTGACCTTAAAAATAAGTATGAAGAAAACAAACCATAGAGTTATCAAATAATCAAATGGATATTGATTTGACTAATGGATAGAATGATGTGACTAATGGACAGACAGACAGACAGACAGAGGGACAAGTATCATACTAAAGTATGACCAAAGGTTCTAAATTTGTGAAATGAACATGCCCTGTTTTAAACTGGAACAGTTTACTGCTAATTCAAAGGGTTTTATTATCAATTACAACAAAAATGCAGCTTACAATATCATGCCTATATTTAGACAAAAATTGTGCAAACTGGCCCGTCCTGGTGGTAAGACTAGTCTATCTTGTGTCTAGCGCTGTCACAGTTAATATATGAGATAATGTGGAGGAACAAACCTGCCACTCTGTGCTCCTAGCCACATTGTTGGTAACACACTACTTGTCTTTTCAACCTCCTCTGCCTGGATGTTACTTCCAGACGCCAGAGCATTGATTCCATCCTTAACCATCTCTGAAGGCTCGCGCAAAACTCGCCGGCTCATGATACCACTGCTCGTGTCAGGGGTGGCTGTACCAGAAGAGACCGGAGATCCCTTGGCCTTAAACACTGTAGGCTGTAGTGTTTCTCCTATAAAATTGAGAAGTAAAATAATGAAATAATTTAAATGAATTGATCTTGTTCCAGTAAGATGTCCAATATGAAGGTACAATGATTTGAAGTTAAACAAAAAACAGTATTAATTAATGTGAAATCATATCATAAGAAGTGAGGATCAGGAATGCTGGACAATATTAAAACACAAACTAATTCAAAATGTTCAAAAGTAAGTGTTCAACATGCAGTGATGGATCACCTTTATAATTAAAAATGTGAATATTTTCACTTGGAGGATTAGGTACAAGACAGTGCTTACTGCATATAATAATCATGGTGATACAATTGATCAGTTTTTATAGTAAATAAGACACAATATTATACAGGCCCATGACAATCTTATTTTGTTAACTTGTAGACTCAAGAGAACTACATGTACAAATAAAGTCAAAATTATAGTCTAGTAATAAATTTTCAATATTTGTTTCAAAGATTCCTTTGTTAATCGCAAATGTATTTAACATGGCATTTTTCATAGACAATGTGTATTTTCCTAACCCGTTAGGCATCTCAGATCTAAGGACTTTAGTCAGCTTTACTTACATATAAATCAAATACTTATACAAATTCATGGTCATTTTAGAGATAATCTTCAAGTACAAAAAGTATAACCTTGGTCATGTGCTTAACCAACTTTATATCATCATCTAATCTATGAAAATTGCACATCATATCCATTATAACCCTTACACATGAAAATACATGTCATTTGTGGGTAAAAAAATATATGAAAAAAAAAGAATTTTTCATATTACATGTAATAAACTATATACTAATATAAAAGAAGATAAAATTGTGAACTTCTTGTTAATTTATGGCAGGGGTTGATGGGAAAGCTTGGAGCTAAGCGAGAAAATAAACAAAATTAAAGAGTAAACTGTTTTAAGCAGAAAAAGAATAAATTCCTCCCAGCAATTTCAATGAATCTCTTAATGACTACATACTAAATATACATATTAACTAATTATTTACCAAAGGCTATTCTATCAAGAGTTCCAGTATGGAAATGACTAGCCTCACCACTGTGCGGCAATGACCCGCCTTCTGTAATACACATGGGTAATCACACAACACCAGAATATAAATCACACAAAACAAACATAAATATCAGCGGCCTATATTCATCAACATTATAAGTCTCAACAAATAAGACTTTACCAATTGTAAAAGTTCCGTTCCCATTTTTTGTCTGCATCTTGAGTAAAAATATATTCAGAGTTTATCACATTGTATCAGAATCAGATCATGTGATGTATAACCTTAAATTAATGTAATAACCCAATGTCATAATTTATTAACTTTGATGAACAAAAAAGGGATTGATAATTTTAATGAGTATGAAAATGTTTAATTGCAAAAATAACAATACATTAATTTTCACAAATTAGGAAAGAACTTTGTCATGTAGATGAAAATGTCAAAACCTTGTAATGTTTTAATCATAGTACATGACTATATAATATGTTTTTATCATTCTTTGTTACTGAAGGAAACAAAAAGTCATTTGTTAGAACAGGTATTTCACGTCTATGTTTCAGACTTTTAATGTTGATGAATCAGGTCAACAAGTGCATAGTGACATAACATTCATGTTATAATAACATAAACATAACAGCTTAATTAGTTAAGCATATACTTATTATAAATCAATTCCTTTACCAATTAAAAGCTCTTCTTCAATTACATTTTTCTCTAGAAAAATAATAGCAAACAAAAGCTTAAGCAAAATCTTATTATATCTAACAAATAATTAACCCAGCATTAATTCGTTTCCTTATTCTTTAGTTGTAAATGAATATGATAATTAACACTAAAATATTAAGATATATATATATATCCCTCCCTGTTGTGGAAAATGCACTCTATGCAATTGTTATTTGAACAGTGTAATATCATTGAAGGAACAAGGGTGGTAAGACTGAGAAAACAGTAGGTTGATATTCAAGTAATCATCTTAGAAATGGAATAAAGAGGTGAGACAGAAGAAAAGACAGTTAATTGTCTATGATAGAAGCTAATACACCATGCTAAATATAGTGTTCCTTAATATAAGTGTTGACAATAGTTCACTATTTCTACATGTGGAAAAGGGTACATTATGATCAAAGTAAATGTTTAACATTATTTAGTAGAATATTGTGAGCATTGTTTTTTAAAATTCAGGTCAAAGTTCATCCTAAATGTAGTGCGCATTCTAGTCAAACAAGTTACATCAAGGGGCAAATAGCAATGGAATCAGTTGAATTAGTCTATGCAAAAAAATTTTAATTGTCAGACAATTTCCTTGTGATTATTGGAATATATTAAAAAAAAACTTTCATAACTAGTTATTAATTACAGAACTCACTTCTTTGCACTTGTCATAGCATACTGACTAATATGAATTTTCTACCGCATGTTTGTTGTTTGTGATGAAAATGTTTTCTATAAATCGTAATCATACAAATACAACATCCAATAAACCTTGAGCTATTTTTACAAAGTAGGAATACTCCAGGGCTTACAAAGTTTGATAGAAAACATTTTGAGTTCCAAAATAGAAGAGATTACATGCTAACTTTCCCGCCCTGGAGGGTATATTTTAAATAACAGACACTCTCATATTCCATCATTAATCTTATTATAGCAAGCAAGTCAAGAAACAATTATTTATGAAATCCTGCCTTCATGTAATTACAAAGTCGCTTAGAGAGTTTAGAAAATGAAATGCATGTTAACCAAGAATAAGTAATGCTATATGGAGGATTAGAACATGATACATGCATGTTAATTATGCAGTTTCCAGATTAACTGTCATACAAATTTGTATGTTAAATAATATATCTTCATTAGCAAACATTTTATGTATCAAGTGCATGCTTGAATGTTATTTTTGATTTCAGGAGAACATTGTTCTGATCTTCTAATACAATCAAGAGGGCTTAACAATAAATCTCTCTAATGATCTAGATTGAAGACATGCAGGTCAGCATTTTAACTATTGGCAGTATCAAGCAGTTACTGTTACTGAAATAGGACAATTTTAGATTAGAAAGGCTCATTCCATGAATGCCATGCTTATCACCTTTCTCTACCGAACCATCGGAACATCTAGATGACCTTTTACCAAACAAAGACTCGAGGGAGGCCCTCTTGTTTGAGGGTATGTAAGAATCTACAGAGGCCCTCTTGTCATTCAAGCTACTGGAACTCCTACTTTTTCCACCACCTGAATTTATATGTATTCCTGATTGGCCATACATTAAAACTTTATATATACATGTATAGCTTATTCAAAATACAAGTATACAATGATTTGTTTCACATTATGGGTGTGTTTCATTAAACACAAATAATCAAGAACAACATTTTTCCTTAATGTTGCCACTGTGTAACAGTATTTGTATGAGGTTACTAAGTAACTAAAACACGGGACTTTTTTTCATTTCATATCATTAAGACAAAGAGGGATGTTTAAAGTTGCAATCTGTCAGTAACATATACTTACATCAATTAACTTTACTGAGTTACAATGTAATATTCAACAATTAAAGGATATATATGTATGGTAATACGGTAATACACTGGAGGATAAAAATAAACATTGAACAACAACAATTCCCACCTTCATGTTTAGAGAGTACTTCAGAGACCGCCTCAGGTAGATTAGAACGACTTGGTGAAGCATCTGATAAAACATGTGCAAAGTTAGTATGGTGAAAGACCAGTTTAAACAAATGTTTTCATGATAAATCAAAGTTCTTTTGTGAAATTACAATAACTGTATCATTTAACTGTATGAAAAAGGAAATTAAAAAAACATCATCCCAAATAACATGTATGTGAGCATGATGAAAGCTATCTGTGTAAATATGAATATCTAGGTAAAAATTAGAAACATATAAGCTTTCTACAAACTAGTTAAAAAGTTATAAAGGATATTTTAAAGCAAGAAAGCCATGATGTATCGCCCACCAGAGTTTATAAGGAAATTTCCCAAGTTTTCTGTCTATACTAGGGATGGCAACGAGTAACCGGTTAACCGAGTACTCGATCGAACGTCCGAATATCGGTTAACAAAACTGATATCCGATTACTCGGAAAAATATATATATTTTCTATTTTTTTGCGATTTAGAAAGATTGGTGTATCCAATTGGTTCAGAAATTCGGAGATGTGCATGTATCTTCATACATACCCGTTAAATGCAATCAAAACATCCTTGCAGAGGTGCGAAAATGATATCATAACTTTAACGAGGCGATCAACAGTTTGGCACGCGCACCTGCGTCGCTTATATCATCCAGCCTCTTATGATATTTAATTACCTTTAATTGTATAGCCGAAGTAACTGCTTTGAAAACAACAAAGGGCGATTGCTATCATGAATGTAAGAATAAAGGTAGCTAGTATTTAGAGTAGACCCGGTTAGACTTTTGTTGCCGCCGATCAGTCTATACTATTTCAAGAAGAAAAAAGATATATGAATTGTTATACTTGTTTAAAACTTGATATTGCATTAATCAAAACGTAAAATATTATGTTGTTGATTTAATTATAATTAATTTGTCTCCCGTGCAGTCATATTTACTATCTACAGAATTCTATTAATTTAAATAGAAAACGAATGTAGCATGCAGACGGTGTTGATATTGTGTTAAACTTTGAAGATCACTGGAAATCATCCGAGTAACCGAGTACTCGATCGGAAAAATGAGCGAGTACTCGAGTATTGATTTTGGTATTCGTTGCCATCCCTAGTCTATACCTATAATAATATACTTATAGAAATAATTTTATGTTATAATATAAGCATTATAATGCTTTCTTTAATAGCGATTCTGTCTGAGTCATGATAAGTCATCTTAATATTATATAAAACTATATACATGTATCTAAATTATATAAATACATATAATCTTATGTTTTCTGTTTAATTAATAGGTAAAGAAATTTCTTGTTACAAGACATCTAATAAATTCCATAAAGTAGTTCTACTAAGAAAAGCAAAAACAAAAGAATGTTACCACACATTTCCCACACAGAGGTTATAAATAAAACGTTGTACATAATTACCTTTTCATCTAGGCGTATTTCTAAATATAAAGTTATAAATGAAATGTACGAAGCTATATTTGGTGTAATTACCTCTAGATCCTGGTGCAGAACCAACAGGTGATGCAGTACTGCTTTTACCAGCACCTCCTGTAGCACATTGTACAAACGATATACCACCAACCCCAGCATCCTCGCCACCTTCCTTATTCTCCTTGCTGGTATCCTCGGGTACAGGTTCTGGGTATTGAGGGTATGACTCGGCCTTCAATATGTCCTCATCTACCGAATAATCTGACTCCAGAGCTCCTACAGTATGTACAACATATTGAATATATTATGTGTGTTGTCATATACAAAATTATAGAGATTTTTTAACATGGTGTTATAGTTAATTTAACACTATAAACCCTCACTATTATATGTAATGTTGATTTCCATTCGATCAATGGGAGTTATTCTTACTGTTAATTTAATTGTACCAAGTGACTAAAAGTTATGCACTGATGTGTAGGTAACACTACTTTTTCACAGTAAATATTTGAAATGAAACAGTCTCCCAGTGAAGTATTTGTTCAGGTAATTAAATAAACAAAACCTAGGTTTGTGAGTAACAGTAAAAGTATCATCACTCATAAAAATACTGTTATCCTTGGCTTACACCTCATACATACCTGGAACACTAGCTATACATAGTATAGGTGTTGTAGAAACTCTAAATGTCTCCAGTACTTCACCAGGATGATTGGCATCTATGACAGAAGCATTACTCTGTGAGTGAGAACTTGTACAAATCCACACAAAAGAAGACAATTGCTCTTTATCTGATTTCTTTATATTATTCTCATGATCCTATATGAAATAAAAAGAAGTGAAAACATGTTATTCTATAGTAAAACAATACAAACAACACACACTGTTTCTTTCTAGCTTGGCAACCAATTTTAGCATCATATCACGTTACAGTTGGCCTCAAACTATTTACAATATACATACATGTTTTCTGCCAATGTTAACACAAACCATACAGATGGGCAATCGAATTCTTCATGTTTGGAACTGTTCATTATCAATTTTTGGGAATACCAATACGAAAATTTTAAGTCTGTCAGTCGACAGTATATAACTTTGTCAGACAGCACTGCCATGCAGGATGGCCTGGCTTAATACTGATTGCAAAAGCTAATCACTTAAGGTTCCAGCAAGGTAAAAGTGAAAGTAAATAAATCACCTGATAGTTGGAATTCTTAAATAAAAGTGATATCAGATGATGCAGCATTATAACGGCATTAAACTTGTTCTTTTGTATCATAGCTTGTAGACCTTTGTAATGAAAATGAGTTTAATTGTATACATATATGTTTGCACAGGTAATAGTTACCTCCACTCCAGTTACTGCACTGTCTGTTGGGGATAAAAATAGAGCATGCTTGTTGATTAGCTCATTTTTTTCTGGGGTTTATTGATTGTGATAACAGGAAAGGGAGAATAATTGAAAAGTCATATCCAGAAGTGCATAGTTACATTGGTTACTTTTTTCTGGGGTTTCATATTGTGTTATTAGGAACGTGTTTTTATTTTTGCCTATATGATTCAAAAGAGAAATAACATCAACTAGAAATGTGTCCATAGGACACTGATGCCCCCACACGCCACTGTTCTGTCAATCTTATGACTCTAGGTCAAATATTTTTTGGACTACATGTGCCACAAATTGAAAACTAAAAATCAACAAAGGGCCATAATTCTGTTAAATTTGGTCGCAGCAAAAATTCCTTCCTTTACTACCATCTACACATTAAGGTTGTTAATCCCTGGAAGTTTAAGTAAAATCTGCCATCCGGTTTAAGAGGAGTTGCGTTCACAAAATTTCTACATAGTATATAATGAAAAAATCAACAAAGGGCCATAATTCTGTTAAATTTGGTTGCAGCAAAAATGCCTTCCTTTACTGCCATCTACACATTAAGGTTGTTCATCCCTGGAAGTTTAAGCAAAATCTGCCATCTGGTTTAAGAGGAGTTACATTCACAAAATTTCTACATAGTATATAGTGAAAAAATCAACAAAGGGCCATAATTCTGTTAAATTTGGTCGCAGCAAAAATTCCTTCCCTTACTACCATCTACACAATAAGGTTGTTCATCCCTGAAAGTTTAAGCAAAATCTGCCATCTGGTTTAAGAGGAGTTGCGTTCACAAAATTTCTACATAGTATATAGTCAAAAAATCAACAAAGGGCCATAATTCTGTTAAATTTGGTCGCAGCGAAAATTCCTTAATAGCATACGATACTGTAACATTTATTTATCTAATGGAGCATTAACACTGTTTCCACTACATTGAATGATTACCTGAAAAGATAAAAACAAACTTAAACTACCTAACTTTAGGGGAAATTAAACCCTGTGTTATTCGGTTCAAATGTTGATTTTAACTGTTTACCTTAACTTTGCCTGAACAATTATGTGTATATAAACTTTAAAAGGCTGATTAAATTACAATAAAATATATTTTAATTATCTAAGTATGTGTTATGCGTTTTCATTTATGTATTAAACTTATGTCATATAAATCTTGTTTGTGTTTAAATTGTATCGATATTAAAGGCATATCATGTCTTAGAAATGAATCTTCTGTAGAAAGGGAAAATATGAGTTTTTAATGTTTTAATATGAGTTTAAGGACATGTAAAAGTAAATTACCTTGCAAAAAGTAAACTAAGTGGTATTTTGTCTTCCATACAAAAAAAGTGATTCACTATTATTAAAATAAATGTCAAAACGCTAACAATGTAAAAGATAGCTCAAGTGTATGACCAATAATTTTATAAGATACTTTGTGTAACAGTAAAAGAACACAAAAAAGTGAAAAGCTTTTAAGAAATACAAATGCTGCATTTTGGAGTCTCAATGGGCTTTTTAGATTCACAGTATTTTGTCGAAAAATAGTTTGCTTTCATGCGAATAAAATGAGATTTATCATCTTCCAAGATAAGTTATATAAGCAATACAGTTGCAAAGAATATTTTTGAAAGGATTGGAAACATATCAGTACATAAATAATCTATTATCACACGCACTTGCTGCAGGTTTCAATTATCACTATCCAAACAAATATATTAAACTTATATATCGATACACTGCCTTGACGTAAATAAACCATTATGTCTCAAGGTATACAACATGTTGATAGCGTAGAAACTTTTCTGTCCTGTAAACTTTGGCGTATGCATGTATACTTACAGATTAAAAATAAAGGTGTGCTCTGATGTCACTCTATTTAGAAAACAGCGTGTTATGTTGTTTTTTTATTGTACATTTTTGAAATAGAAGTTCAATGTTCTTAACCGTTCCCCTTGTTTTGCGATTACGTAACAAGCAACAACTTTACTCTTAATATGTAATTTGATTTACAAAGCCATACAGTGAAATCTTTCACGGAATTTACACAAATGAAAACACATTGACTTTACAATCAAATAAAACGAAGGAAAGTGTTCTTGAGTTTTAATCTTCAACTTTAAAAAGCAATTTTCCTATTTTTAATTACAACATTATATACCTGATTACTTGATTACTTTATGTTAAATAAAATTTATGTTTCTCTACAGAATCTCTTTAATCTTTTATTCAGTGTTGCTTTTTCTCAAGGACAATAATGTATCTAATGTAAATGATATATAAAGATAACCGTTATACTTACGTTTGCAAATAAATAAATTTTAGATTTTATCCTATCGATGGGTTTTGTTTCACAACTGCTTTATTGTGTAACAAAAAATATATATTTTTTTGAGAACATATATATATTCTGTTTATTGTTTGTTTGTTTGTTTCATTTTACGCCTTTTCCCAACAGTAAATATTCTGTTATTCTGTTAAGTCAGACCTAAATTATTGTTTACCTAACATTTTATTTTCTTATTAATATATACTTTTATTTTCATTGAACAAGTCTTAGTGAAAATGAAGATGAGATTTAAGCCATTTTGTGTGTGGGGGACGAGGGCGGAGACTAATTTAAGTTTATCAGAAGTGTTTCTTATCAAATCGTTTTACGAACCACCCAATACGTGCTTTAACAGTATAACCAGCACTTCATGTGCCAAGTAAGTATTCAATATGAAAACAAGCGATGTCATGTGTTAAACAGTAATCTCAAGAGAAAGTACATCTAGTTATTATTAAACAATTTTGTTTTAATGGTACAAAAATCAAGTTCGCTATATGAGGTGACAAAAATATGACATTTGCAATATTTACAACAAATTCTCACTACGCTACCTCATCCAGGATAAAATTGATTTAGTGAGGTATAATGATGCTGTACTAAACCAAAAAAAAAATAAAATGAGATATCTTATTGAAAGAGCCAAATTATAATTGTTTGTACTAAAAAATATTAAGTCACTTTTACCAATTGGGACAACGTAGTGTAGTATACATTTCTTTACGCATTTTATGTGCTACAACATGACATAAGCGTTTGTTATTGAAATCTCACATATAGATATATTGTTCAGTCATAATTAGTTAGTTCATTTGAGTATATATGTTTGTTTTACATGGAGTATATCGATCTGATTAATTTGTAATATTATGTAATATCGGAACTGTCGATGTGATTCATTTCATGATGCCATCATAAACTTGATTGATATCTCGACAGTAATTTTGCATATTTAATTGTTCTAAATGCATAAAACATTTGAGTGCAAGGCTATGTATGAAATAGAAATTGTAGTTTTTTCCTAGAAAGTCGAAAGCATTTCTTTGTATATTACTAAATCACATATCTATTGACATATAAACATATAAGATTCTTTTGCACAAGAATCAATTTTAGAACATTTCTTAACATTGCTTACAAGAAAAAAACTTGCTTGTAAATGTTGTGCTAATAAATGACTTGATGATGAAATTCGAAAGTTAAAGAACCTACAGTAGTTCGCAGAACATGTGCTAATAGTGTCTTTTCTTATTTGATTTGCATCCAATTAGGTATAAGGAAATAAAAGTTAAAATAATAAATTACTACCTAAATTATCTTAACTATTTTAACAAATTAAACTTATTACGCCCTGCAAAAAGTGGGCGGCTATAGCTTTTATTCTAACAAAACTTAAGAAGATAGTATTCTACATAAATGTTATCTACTGATAAATAATTTATAATGGACGTTAATCATGAATAGGTCTCTAGAATGTAGATTCTAAATAAAGCAAATCTTTCATGCACCAATCACGTAAGATAATTGACTCTCAAAGTACAAGGAACGCCTTACATATGGCTATATTTAACAAAAACAACAACAACATGTGATTTGTATATTCTGCTTAAAAGCCACTCAAGAATATGTAAAAGAGATTCTTTGGTTAACATTAACAACATTTTTAGATACCAAACCAATTTAACATTTCTTACACAATATTGCTATCAAACTTCAGTCTTATTGAAATCATCCATATGTCGACTGAGAGATATCAAAATCTATAACTTTCTGTTGATCTATTGTAGATACTAGCTGTCAGCACATTAATTTGTTATAGTGTCACTGTTATTATAACATTAAGCAAATTGGTCAATTATGACAGGTGTGTAATGCGATATTTAGAATTATGTTGGCAGTATATAATAGTGTACATGATAACAAACCATAAAACAATTATATATGAATAATCATAATAAGTGTGAGATACAGTCTGATTCTATATTACATGTACATATCTAGATATAGACATTATATTGTTAAAGAACAGAATATTATGAGTCATCATTAAAAAAAGTCTCAACAACTTTAAAGTATATCAACATCTTTCTTTAAGAAATATTGTATAAGATTGCAAATAAA